TTAAACGCTCACTTTAGAAAAATTGGAGACTGCCTAAGAAATTATTATAGTTATTAATAATAAATAAATATATGTTATTCTCTAAAAATTATGATTTAAATTAAATTTACGACTCCCTATTTTATTTTTTACAATCCATTCAATTTGACATACTTTTTAACTAAACTTTAGTTGTCGAAAAATAAAATTTATTTACATGAGTTTGAAAAGTGAAATATCTATTTTAAAAAATTTACTAAGAAATTATTGAGTAAATACAAATATTATATTCTCTTTTACATAAATAGGCAAGAAAACAGTTACAAAATATAAATATAAAGGATAATTAAAAATAAATAAATATTATTGTGAAGAAAAATAAACGAGTTGTATGAAAAACAATTTTAAACTAATTAATTAAATAATTTTTTCATAAATTAAAATAAATTTTTTTTACACTTTTTACGATTTACATTTTTCGGTAAATATACAGTTATATATTATGCACACATTTTCTAAAAACTTACTTTCTAAAAACTTTTTTTTTGTACAAAACTTGTTTATTTAAAATGTTTATCAATTAACCCATGTAACCTTTACATAAAAGTAAATCCCAATCAACGTTCATTTTCATAACTTCTTGTTCGAGCCAAACTTCATAATGCTGTTTAAATTCGTCACTTAACTCAAAATGTTTCCCTAAAACAGATATTACACAGGAATCTACAGGTTCCAATTCTGGATTAGCTACCGTGTTATTGTATCTGCGATTGTTAAAACGATCAACACATGGACGAAGGGCGCATTCTTCAGCCTAGGAAAAAAACAGACATTTATTATTTATTTTTAAATCATTTAATAAAAACAATTTGAGCATATTTTGTGACAATTTTTTGCATTTACCTGAAAATCCCACGGCCTCGCATCTAAATCATTTCCAAAAGCCCAATCATCGTTGAGTCGGTGTCTAACTTTTTGATAAATGGCGCTCATAGTTTTCATGTTGGTTTTCCGCCATTGTCGGCCCAAATATTTTGTTTGCATTTTTAACAATTTTAAAACGTACAATTGCATAAGAGCATGTCTTACTTTTAAAGTTCTTTTAAGGATGGGAGCAGATTTAAAAACAACAAGCATCATTATTCTAGAATGTTTCCATTTTGTAAGTTTGTTTAAAATTCTTAATAAATTAATACAAGTAAATAAATTTCTCCATGAATAAGGAAGATTATCTCCCACTTCTAATTCGAGTGCGTTGCATTTTAATTCGGCATGATCTCCGATCACACAAGTTGGAAAATCGAGAATCGGAATAACATTACGATCGGAAACATAAGCTAATATGTTTTGATTGAAAAATTTTAAAACAAGGGGAATACAATTGGCAAACACTAAATGTTGAGACATAAATTCAAATTGATAAATGTGATTTAATTTAAAGTGTTTCAAAAGTAATAACAAAATAGCCGAAACAGCCTTAACAACTATTTCTTTGTGACGGTTAACATCTATTCCTAGTTTCATACTTTGAACTTTTGTAAATGGAATGCCAACCGGAAGAACATCGGCTACTATATTAATTGAATCCGTTTTAGTTTTTGATGTAGGAGCGGCAGCTAATAAAATTTTTAATAAAGCTATCATGTACTGGGGAAGATTGGGCAACATTGCTTGATAAAGAGTTTCCGCAGGTGTCAATTTGACCATGCTTTCTTTTTTTGAAAATGGATTTTTCGACATAATTTCTTCTCTGGAAATATGCACTTCTGATAAACTCGTAAACATATGGCTTTTCAACACTTTAACACCTTCACATATAGGCCTGGGTAAACCAACTAACGTTTCCCTATCCCCTAAAACATAATTCATTCTAATAATAATAATAATAATATTATAATATAATTTTAAATACTTTTCGAAGTTAGGCAAAATCTAAATACAAAGTTATACATCTTTAAAATCTGATAATAAAAAAAAATTTTTTAATTTTTTACTGCTAATTTTGACATTGTATGCAATTACTTACCTGGCAAAGAATATCCTACAAATTTAATTCTCGTATTTTCTAAAAAAAGATCTAAATCTTTTTGTCTCACTTTGGGTAACCATGGAAGACCTTTTCCCGAATCAGGAGTACTGGACCTTATAACTGGAGTTTCTTGATTCACTTCATTTATGCAATCATTTTCTGAAGAAGGTTGCGGTTCTTCGTAATCACGAATTTCATCATCTTCAGCCTGAAAGTAATTGAAATTTTAATTAATTCAATCCAACTGATTTCATGAGGGCAAAATTTTAATTATGTTTTTTAATGTTAATAAATAAATAACTTACAGAGTCATTCATTTCTAATCCAGGCTCATCCAATGAATTTTGCTTTAATAAACTTCTTCTGATTAATCTGGCAGCTCGCTTTTGATGCTGAGCTTCTAGTATATCTGTGCCACTAGTTGGGGGACTAGAGGATCTCATAGTTTTTGTAATTTCTATTGTATCTTCATCTGTGTTTTCAAGGCCAGCTTGTTTTCTATATTCTTTCCTCAATTTTTTAAGGGTTTCCATACCTCCCAAAGTCAATAATATAATTTTCCATAACAAAAGAAGTACTTTTTTCATTGGAAAATGTGGTGCAGAACCAGAACAAAATTTAGTGATCATACCTAAATATAAAAATTTTTACTACATTAACTGACTTGGAAAAAAAAAACTAATATGAATTTTTTATTAAGTAAATTAATTTTTACCTAACAGTTTGATTTGCAGTAGTTCATCATTAAATTCAGATTCTAAATCAGCTTTTAAATTTTCTTTAATTTCTCTATCATTTTCAGAATCATTTTCATTAATTAATCTTATAACTTCTATAATAATATACAATACACTGAGTATCACCCTTAGATCAGCAGAATCTGACAAATTGGCTGATATTTTTTTCATGGCATCATTTGCTGTTATACTATTTTCTATTTCAATATTTAAGAGTTCAACAAAAGCTGGAAACACACAACATTTATACATCAAGAGAGCATTTTTCTTGGTCCAACTTTGTTGCTCATAATCAGATTGAACCTCTGCCCAGCATCCTGCAATTTTAAAAAATTATTAACAACTTTATATAATTTTATTAGTATTACCTCAGGCAATAAAAATATTAAACTTGATATGCACCTTGAGCTAAATACAGAAAGCATCGAGCAGCTTTTATTCTGACTGCATTGTCAGCAACTTCTAATTGATCTAATAATTTCATTATTACTGATTTTTGTTGATTGTCAGTTAGTTTTTGCCAAGAAGGGGGTAATTTATATAATTCCATTTGTTCTTCAAAAGCGTTCACATTAAGTTGAAACTCTGGTTGTTCAGTATAACTGTACAATTCTGCTATTTCATTAACATGACTATCTGTGTCGTCATATATGTAATCTAAATCGGGACAATGAGATTCACTGTCAGAAAAATGCCGATGCTGTCCGATGACTCCCGTTTCTATAAAAGGACCCCTTTTTCCATTACCATTTGCATCAAATAAATCCATTTTGGAACACTTACAATACAGTAAATGTAAAACAAATATACTAAAACATTTCCTTTAAAGAAAAAAAAAAAATTAACAAAACAGTCAAATTTGTTCAGATATATTAAAAAACAAATTTTAATATTAAAAAATGATTATAATTGTTTTATATAAAAGCTAAATAAATAATTAGGCTTTTTTTTTTTTAATTTGATACTTAAAAAATAATTAAAGTCAACCATTGACTTAATCGACATTTTAAAACTGGGCCCCAAAAAATAAGCGCTGCCAGTTCAAAATTTTTGTTTTCATTCAAGTTCGTGTTAACCTTAAAAAAAAAATTTTTTGTTGTACTGGGAATTTTTTTGTTTTTATAAGTTGATAACACAAACTTGATGAAAAACTAATTTTTATAACAAAGTTTACTTTGAAATTAAAAGTATGAGTTTATCTCAGGCATCAAAATTAGTACAAAAGTTAAGGTTCAAATTAAATGACAGAAGAAAGTTAAAAAATCTTGATGGTCCACAAGGCCGTCATAATAAAATACGACAGACTGTTACCGCATTATTTAAATACGAAAGGATTGAATTAAATTATGGAAAAGCAGATGAATCTAGAGGCTATGCTGAGAGGGTAATATTTCATTAATAAAAATGATGATTAAAATCATCAGTGTTTATACATTGTTAGTAATTACTTTACTAAAAAAAAAATTGTGTTTTTAGCTTATATCAGATGCAATTAAGTATGGTGAGTATCATAAAGAAACAATGAAAATGGCTTCATATTGGTTACTAGAGGAACAACTTGTTCACAAATTATTTAAAGTATTAGTGCCAAGGTATCGAAATTCTCAACAGTCATACACCAAGATGTGGAAAGTATCAGTATCGAAACCTACTACTCTTCAAAAAACTGTTTTGGAACTTCGAAACAATATATACCCTCCTTTAGGAGAGGTAAAAACAAACAATAAAAATTTATTACATAATGTTTTACTTAGAGAAGCAAGTAAATATTATGAAATGAAAAAATCTTTAAATAATGATATTAATAAAAAAGAAACTATTTCATCTACTAACTCAACAATTGATAATACTAGTAATGATATTGTATCTGATTCGAAAAGTGAAGAAAGTAATAGTACAGATGAAGATTTAAGTTTAAATAAATTAAATTTAGAAACAACAGAAAATCAAAATACAGTAAATGAAACAAATCCTAAAAATTAAATCGGAAGATTTTTTTCGTATAACAGAAAATTACGCTATTTGTAAAAACAAAACAATGTAATTTTTTTTATTATTATTATCATTTAACTAAATTGAATTGTTACTTATAAAAAATACTTATTTCATTCATTTAACAGTTGTAAATTTCAATTTATTATTTTTATTTTTAATATTAATCAGTAAAAAAAAAATTTTTTTGATCTATCAATTATATGGTATTGATTAAGTGTTAATAAACGTAATAGTGTATTTTAAAGTAGACTTTTCTACCTTTTTACCGAATCATAAAAACATTAATTATCCAATTATAAAATTTGTTGTTATTATAATTAAAAGTTTTTTTTTTATTTTTAAACAATTATTAATCATTTAAATTAAAATTTTTTCTTTAGTACTTTATAACAGGTTTTAATTTGTACTGAAAAAAAAATTTTTGAATAATAATAATTAACTTTACATTTAAAGAAATTTTTTTTAAATTTTATGATGATTTATTATCATACCATCAAATCAAAAAAAAAAAAAAAATTTTTTTTTTGGGTACAAGTTTTAGTAGATGAAAAGAAGATGAATAGTGAAAAAAAAAAAAAAAAAAGTAAAATGAAAAATAAGTTTGGCCGCTTCTGTTTAGAAAATATAAAATCAAATAAAACGTTTTCCTTCCGAATACACATCTGAGACTTGGTCCCTCGGGATTTTAACCATCGATTCCTCCTAGTCTTCTTCCCGTATTCTCTCTCTCTATCTCTCTCTCTTCTTTCTTTCTCTTTTTAACGCGTTGAATCATTTATTTATTTTTTTAATTTAACAATTACGTGTATTTATAATTAATACTTTATAAAAAAAAAATTAAATATACAAAATTTTTTAAAAATTATTATTATCAAATAATTGAAAAGGAATTATTAATAAATAAATAAATTTAAATTAATTTGAAAATAAATTACTTATTGATTCTATATAATAGCATCTATTAATAATTATAAATTATCTTATTGCACTTTACCTATATTAAAAAAAATATAAAATCTAACTCACTATCGTTATTATTTATTATTATTATTATCGTTAAATTTAAACATCTAACACGTGATTAAGGTAAGCTATGTAGCAAATGGCCAAACGTAAAATTTCAATTTTTGATAATTTTTTATCAGGTGGCAAAGTGGGTAAAAGTTTTCTAAGATCGGAAAATGCAACATTAAATGCTTCGACACGAATCCTTTCTCTTGTTGCATGAGCTGTTCTATATTTTTGTGTTGCTCTTCGTCTTCTTCTTCTTTCTTCTCTCGTCAATGTTCCCATTTCATTTCTTTCTCTGAAAACCGACGAATAACTAAATTATTATCTTCCCCCTCCTCCTCCTCACCCACCAAAAAAAAAAAAAAACGAAATTTCCCTAAAAATTCAATAACTTAAATGCACGTATATAAAACGTAACGGAAAAGAAAAACGTTAAGGGAAAAATTTTATTTTTTTTTACGATTATATTTTTCGTAAAAATTTTCAATTTTTCATGGAACTTTTTTTTTTTTTCCTTTTAAACTGATAAGATGATAAATAATTATTTTTATAAAAGATTAATAATAATAATAATTAATTTTATTACCTTTTTCTCACGGGTATGCACAATGAATCCGCCGGTTCAATCAAACATTCTCCGCATCCATTCATATTTTAATTATCTTTTTTTTTTTATCTAAAATATTACCACAATATATTTATATTATAATCTATTACATTTTAATAATATATATTAATAGCTACTAAAAAAAAAAAAACCGTTAAAGTACCCCCGGAATAAGATTGGAAAAGGGTAAAAAAAAAAATTTTTCTTTTTTTTGCATTATTAAATGATCATATGCATCAATACTGATTTTTTTCTTTCCTTTTTTCCTTTTTTTTCCTTTTTTTATTTTATTTTACCCACGAGGATATAAATGATAAGATATTGATAGGGAAGAAAAAAAGAAAAAAAAGGAAAATTCTTACGTTTGTCTCAACATTCTGGAAATTCTTTTTATTGAAGCGACTGACGAATAAAAAAAGAAAATTTTAATACAAACATTAATATTATTATTATTATTAACGGGTAATAATATATAAAAAAATTATAAGACATTTAAACGATATAAAGGAAAATTTTTATTTCTACTTCCACGTTAATAAGAAAATAAAAATATACCTGATACTCGGAGAGATCCTTTTAAATAAAATTAAACTTATTTATTATTATTATTATTATTACACACAACAAACAAAAATTCTTTTTTTAAAATATACTAACCATCAACGGAAAAAAAAAGTGTCTTTTTATTTCCGACAGGAGAAAATTTCTAAAAAAAAAATTTTCTTTTTTTTCTCGGCGCTAGATAAACGAAACGACAGGAAAATCATAAAGAAAAATTATAATGAAATCGCACAAAAAAAAATAAAAAAATTATGTTTACCTATTGATTTAACGAAGGAAACCAATTCAATTTATAAAAAAAATTCACACGTGTCTCGCATAAATATAAGAAGAATGACAAACGTGTGGTTTATTTAACGGTATGAAAGGATTTTTTATAAATTGTGAAAAAAGAAAACTTTTCAGCATCCAGCATCTGGAGCTTATGAAACCACGCCTAACATTTTGTTCCTCCCAAATCAACGCGAAAACAATAGAAAATTTACACCAATGAGAGAGCAGCGTTTTTGAATAATACATTAAAAATGTTATTATTATTATTATTTTTTAATTTGCAACTAGGGGTGGGGTGGGGAGGGGAGGGGGGAAACAATCGAATGTCAGTTAAAAAAAAAAATTTCTTTTTTTGTGTTTCAATCAATACAAACAAAAAAAAATTTAACAATTATTTTTTTAAAAAAAAATTATTATTATTATTATTTTGAACCAAGTATTTTTTTTTACCCGGAAATAGGACAATATTTTAGTAAACTACAACATTTTGAATTTTCCTAGTGACATTTATAACCGTTTTTCCATCTAAAATATGATTCCACATCACTCAAAAAACATCATCTTGTGCTTCTTTAAACGATTCTCATCTTTCTAAAAAAAAAATTTCTTAAAAATTGATTCATCGATGATGATTAGTATTTAGTAGGTGTGTGAGTGCGTGGTTTTAAAATCAAATACCTCATACATGAAACCAATTTTTTTTAAACAAAGTCAAGTAGTAAAAAAAAAAGGAAAATTTGTGCAGCTGGTATACATATAAATTTTTTACAAATCCATACCAAAAAAAAAAAAAAAACATAATTTTTAGTGAATAAACAACATTTATCAAAGAGGGTTTAAAGGATTAGTTAAAGGAAAACAAGGAACAAACGGTCCCCAATGACACAAACAAACAAAAATCGAAATCCCTAACAGGGATTAAATTTTTTTTTTTTTTTTTTTTTATTCTCCTTTAAATAAGGGAGTTAGACATAACTACTCTTATCCATGATTTATATATTAAATCATTATAAAAAATTATTATTATTATTATTTTCACATTCAACGATTGATAAACAATCATTAATTATATAAATAATAATAATAATAAAAAAATTTGAATTATTTTAAATGGTCGAAACAAAAAAAAAAATTTGTTTGTTTATATAATAATAAAGACTAATCGTATTACGTAAAAGATGAAAAATATTTGCTCGAAAAGAACGGGGAGCGGGGGGGGGGTAACAAACCCTTTGGCACGAAATAATAAGAAAAATAAATGTGAATTATTATTATTATTTCTCATAGAAAATTTTATGAAAAAATCATTTAAAAAGAGGGAAAAATGGCCGAAGATAAAAAAATTTTATGTTTCTATAGAGACAAAGAAAAAACTCTTTTAATGTTGTGTTACCACAACTCGTGTTTACTTTCGAACATAATAATAATAATAATAACTTATTTGTTTTAAAATTGAAAATGTTTAAAATTAATTTATTATTAATTACATCGTTGAATAATAATAATAAAAAAGGTGAGAGAGATTTTCTTTTCTTTTTTTTTTTGTGGTAATATGGATTTAAATGCATTCTACTTTTTACAAAAAAATTCTAGAACGTTAAAAAAATAATTTAAATTATTTAATTAAAAAAAATAAATAAATTTTTTTTTGTTTTCAGTTGACGTAGTTACGTAAAAAAAAAAAAAAAAAAAAAAAAAATGGTGTCCGAAAATCCGTGAGATTCAAAACAAAACAAAAAACTTTCGTGCCAAATCCGAAAGAAATATGAAAAATTATTTATGACGTTCATTTCACAAGTTACTATAATGTAAAATGGCTTATCATTTCAATGCGAATCAGGTAAATAATAATAATAATAATAATAATAATAATAATAACGATATTGTTTGTTTTGGTCCCTGGCACAAAAAAGTCAACGAATTTGTCGCTTTATTGATTTCCTTGCAAAAGGGAAAGAAAAAAAAAAAAAAAAACAATTTTAATAAGTCACGAATTGAAAGGTGGCCGCGGGGTGTGAGCGGCAGTGGCGGTGGATGCTTTGGCAAATGTAAAAATGACTGATTAATATTATTATTATTATTATTTTGCAATATATAAAAAAAAAAACAAACAACTTTGTCTATAAGAAAACTTTTTAAAACAAATTACAAAAAACGCAATGCACATATGCGTTTGTATGCAAAAACATAATAATAATAATAATATTTATTTACATATATATTAAGATATTATAAGGTTTAATTGCACAATTAAACAATAATAATAATAATAATTTTTTTGTCTTCTGCTACCGTTTGTGGTAGTTAATACTATTTATTTATTTATTGTTTTAATAATGATAAAAAAACTTTTTTTTGAGACAAAAATAATAAAAAATATTTCGAAAAAAAAGAAAATTTTTTTTGCAAAAGTGCAAACTGATCTAAGTGTTTTTAGAAAAGAAAATTTTTTTTCTAGACTTTTCTTTCATAATCGATTATATTTAAATATTTAAAACTTTTTTTCTTTTATTTTTCTTTTAGTCATCATAAAACTACAAAAGAAAAATAAGTTATATTATTATTATTATTGTTATGTTTCATTATTAAAAATATTTTTTATAAATAAATTTCGTTTTTTTCGGAGAGGGGGAAGGGAAGGGGGAAAATTGTGAAGGATTTGTGATAACACAGGATGATTCCACAAATATAAAAAATTTAGGTAAATTTCTAAAAACAAACATTTGTAGCAAACACGTGTAATTTTTTTTTTAATTATTGCACCTGCAAAATGAAAATCTTAACTATCCGTGTAATGATTCAAAGGGAATTGATTTCTTAATCCTGAGGGAAACAAAAAAAAAATATAGGGAGGGTTTCAGTTTAAAGGGTGTGAAAATTCAGGGTCGTCTTTTCTCTCTCTCTCTCTCTCTTGGTCATTTACTCAATTATATTCCTTAAAAAAAAAAGAGGAGGAGGAGGAGGAGGATGAGGATACTTTTTTTCGATTTACAATTTGATACAAGAATTTAATTCGATTTTATTACAAATTATTTATTCGTTAACATCCTCAAATCATTTAAATTTTTCAATTATAAAAAAACGTAAAATAAAATAAAATTTTCCGATTTCCTTTGTAAAAAAAAAAAAAAAAAAAAAAAAAAATCAATTTTAAAACTTTAGTCGCCCCTGAATTTTCTTTTTTTTCCCCCCCTTCGGAAAACTATAAAAATTACTTGTAAGATGTTTTTTTTTTTTTGCACGTGTTACAAATGTCGTAATGTAATTATTAGTGTTGAGAGTAATCGAAATTCTCTTAGGAAATTTTCTTTTTTTCCTTTTTCTTTTTTTCAAGTTGAAAAATTTTTTTTTTTTTTTTTTTGGTACATAAAATTAGTTTTAATAACGAATCGAATGGTTTATACGTTTTTGATTATTTCGTACGACAACAAAATTATACAATACAAGACAATAATTTAGAAAAAGAAAAAAAAAATTTAAATTATCGAACGAAACACGTGGTTGGTGCGCTTATGAAAATTAATCAATCAAAATTTATTATTATTCGCCGACATGTTGGCACGTGCAAGACCGAACGCGTGAAACCGCCTCTCAAGTTATTACATACATAAAAATTATTATTATTCGATAACAAAAAAAAAATTGTTATAATTTAAATAATGAAAAATTTACCCCTTTTTACTAATTTAAAAAAAATGTTTTTTTAAACCATTTTTTTTCCCTTCCCCCCATTAGTTCGATGATAAATACAGTCCGAGAAAATTAGGAAATTGGGAATACCCAAAATGGTATCCTGATAGACCAAGACAACGTCATAAAACAACAAAAATAATTGCCGATGATAAAGGGCGATTGTTGGATGGCATAAAAAGAGAAAATCCCTGGGGAAACTATATAGGAACGTGGGATTTACCAAAGAGAATAACGCGAGATTACAGTAAGTTTTCACACGTTTAATAAACATTTTTTAAAAAATTTTTTAAATCCGCGAATTTTTTTTTTACTTACAAGTAAAAAAACTTGTGGCACCGCCGGAAAGACTTGTAAAATTATGGGATAAAAAAAAACAACCTGAAGTAACTCTTAAAGTTGAAGAACCTCGCATTGAAGAAAACCAAGAAGAAAAAAATTTAGAAGAAGTAAGTAAACCTTAATATATACCTTTCGTCAAAAAAAAAAAAAGGATTTCAACTTAAAAAAAATTTTTTTTTTGTTTAAAATTATCCGATAGGGTACTTGTAAAATATGTGGAAAATTATATGCCGATTGTACCTGCGAAAAAGTTGTACAATCAAAATCCTCGGATTCGATTGATGAAGAGGAAAAATGTGCTGAACCCCTCACATGTCCCAAATGCAATAATGATATTTGCCTTTGCGAAGATAAATGTCAATGCAATGTTTGAACAAAAAAAAAAAAAATTATTTTTTATATTTACAAAAAATCAACAAAATTTTTTTATATTTTATTATTTTTAATATAACTTTTTTTTTTATAAAGTAATTAAGAAATAAAATCGATTTCGATCTAATTATTTTAGTTGTTATTAAAATAAAATAAATTATTAACCTTTTAGTATAAGAAATAAAATTTTTAAAAAAATGTCATTTCAGTTTTCGACCGACGGCAAATATTTAACATCAGCCGAAAAATGTTTTCTAAAAAGAAATAAATCTTCTTCGGCGTTGAACCTTCATTCTCCAGCGAAAAAATTCGATTCGGAGATCGTAACGAAAGAAGAAGAAGAACAAGATGTCGATTTAAAAAAATCAAATTCGATCGATGAAAGAATAAAAAAAATTTTAGAATCCGTTGAAGAACCTGCGAAAGAAAATACCGTGAAAGATTTTTGTCCGGAAATAAAAGCATTATCCAAACATAACCGAGAAAAAACAAACGTGGTGTCATCCGATCTTGCATCGTTGGTGGAAAATGGGAAAAATTTTAAAAAAAGTGAAAATTTATTAAATTCCTACTTGGAGGATCACGTTAATAAATACGAAGAAGTGAGAGACGAAATCGATTTTGAAATAAATGAAGAAAAATCTAAAGAAATGACTGACGCCAATGACCAAACGGAAAATGTGGAAAATTCGCCACAAAACAAAGACGCAACCATGAACTTTAATAATTATTCTAACGTGGCGAAAAAATTTCACGATGATAACCTCAAACACCAACCTCTTCCGGATGTCATCAATGATCCCATGTATAAAGCTCTCATTAGTGATAGATATCCCTTTCCAGGTGAATCCCTAAAAGTTGGTACGATGCCAACGGCAATCGGATGGAAGAATTATTCCGTACCTGGACCGACCGAATGTTCAAAGTTAAAAATCTTTCGTCCGAAAACAGCATCGGATCCCAAGGTAAAAAAAGTAAAGGAAGAAAGACCGAAAACTTCGAAAAATTATGTACCCAAAAAGGTATTACCCATCGATTTAGCAATCTGTTGGGATTTGAAACCTGATGACTCCATAAAAGAACCGAAAAGGAGTTTGCATATAGATGGAAGTAACGGTTGCATCGCTCCAGCCGTTTTTACGATGATTCATCAACAAGATAATTCCAAAGAGCAAAACGTTTCCGGTTCGTGTTTGCCTTTGGCTGAAAAAATAAGTCCAGGCATCGAGGAAAGCAATCTGGCAAATTTACCGTCTCAGGAAGGTGGAAAAATACAAAATTCTGTATTAAAATGTCCGATCAATAAAGAGGCCATCATGTCTTGCGTAAAAGCATCTCCGAAAGATAGCAAACAATCGGATAGTCCGATGAGTTTCACTTCCGTTTTGACAAACGTAAGTAATAAAACTCGTGAAAATTCAAAAACTTTTTTGTCTAACGAGGAAGCGAATAAAATTCTAACAAGAAAACTCATGACGTTACAAAGGGAAAAAGAAAAGAAGGGAAATTATTTCGATCCTAAAAAGTATGTTTTCAACAGTAATAATAATAATAATTTCAATTGCGGGTCTTATAATGATAAAAAAATAAATCACAGCACGCCAAATTTGGCTTCAAAATGTAGCGGAAGCAAATGCGGTACCGACAAAACCAGTCAAGACTCGTTTAATAAAAATAAAAGTTTGACGAATTTGAGTAGGGGATCAAGTGATGGAAGTAAATATCCACAAATAAACAAAGATGAAAATAAAAGTAGATCGAGTTCGGGACATTCGAAATCTCACGGATGTTCCCACAACGATAATTCTGGAAAAACCGAAAACAAAAATACGACGAAAACGGAAACGACAAAGAGCGACAGTCCAAATTCTTCGGGATCGTCACTCGGTTTAAAATCTTATAAGGGATCTAAAAATCACGTAGTGATCCCTGGAAAGAAAAAATATTCCATCGGGACTTTACTACCACCGTTTTCGTATTGGCCGCAAAATAACAGTCAAAATTATCCGGAACACTGGAGACTTGCCAGCGTGTACCAACACTCTTACAAACCAATAAATAATAGAAAAAGGCCACTGCTGGCAAGTGTTTTCCAGTAATAGTATTAATAGTATAAATAAGTTAATAATAATAATTAAACACAGTAAAAAACTCACCAGTAGTAGCAAGTAATTCTTCTTCGTAAAAAATGAATTGTAAATAATTTTAAAATAAATAAAATCAACTCGTATTAAGCAATCTATGATACTCGTTGAAAAATGTGCACTTTTTAATACCGTCCCAAACTTTGGACGCGTAGTGAAACCTAAAAAAAAAAAAAAAAAAAACAAAAATTTAATCGATAACAAATACAATAATCGATTGATTATTTTAATAAAATGCTTTTTTTTTTGGCACAGTGCTATAAGAAAATATTATCAAGACTGTTATTTTTTCATGTATTCTTTTTTAGCCTTAAGATTTAAGCACTTTAATGTAATAATTAATTTTTATACAATAAACAAAATATGTACAAATTTTAAAAAAAAGTAAACATTGCAACTCATGCAAATAATCAATATATATTTGTATATATTTATGTATTGCTAAATTTGTTCTTTGAATGAAAGAAAAAAAAAAAAAAAAAAAAAAGTTTTTATCGGAAAATTCAAGGCGAACTTAATTGAAACCACAAAGTGAAGAAATTAAGAAATTGATAAATATAAACGTAAGTAATAGTACTCAGTTTGAGTGCACACACACACACAGAAAACAAATGGTTGTTATTAAATCAAATCATTAGGTGAGCCTCAAATTTATTTATTTATTTATTTATTTAAAAACAATTTATTTAATGTATCTTATTGAATTTTTTAAATACAGTATGATGATGATACAACCAAAAAAAAAAAAAAAAACAGAATATTTATTGAATATTTCATTATTAAATTCAAATATTGAGATTATTTTTTTTTTTTTTGAATTTTTTCTCTTGGTAAAAGTTCTGACTGAATTTTAAAAGCCTAAAATATGTAATTTATTATCGTGTAATAAATTTAACGATTAATCAATCATAACTTTAACCTTCGCAATATTTTATTTCAAAAAAAAAAAAAAAAAAAATTTATTTATTAGTTAATTTCCTTTGTTTTTATCAGGCATAAAATTGTACAACTGCAAAACAAATGAAAAAAATTTACACAAAAAATTATCATGAACAGAATTTGATGACCACACATGGTGGGCACCATGTATTTAAATAAAAAAAGAAAAATTTTGTATTTTATGCTTTCTGTTCATTTTTTTTTAAATCGTGTAAATTTTAAATGTAATAAAAAATAAAAGATTTGATTTCTCACCAATTTTTTTCAGTTAAAGCCGAATGAGTCAATGGTGATCTGGGAGTCGAAAGAATTTGTCGTCGAATTTGATTAATGAGATCGGCGAAACCGGAGTGTCCTTTATATTTGGTAGGATCTATTTTATAATTTTACACATATTTTATTATTTTTCTTACAAATATGTACGAAAATAAATTAAAAATGAAAAGTTATTCGTCAAAAGTTTTACCTTCGTCCATTTCCGGTAACAAAAATAAATTGATTAATTCTCCGCAAGATTCACTGTTTAAAGCTGGATTTACTTCACCGTTTGCTATTCCAAAACCCGTTTGAAATTGAAGTCTAGAATGTGAAAATGTCTTGCAGTAGATTTCCTAAAATTAAAATTAAAATTAAAATTAAAATTAAAATAGTCGTTTTATTTTACAATAACGTTTAATATGATAAATAAATACCTGCATTTCTTTAATTTTTCTCGGTTCAAAATCTGAATCAGGAGATTTATTGTGTACAAACATAATGTGAGGAAAATATTCAACCATAGCTTCATCGACAGCTGTGGGTGTTGATGGTTTCAACATCTCAGCAGTTTGCAAAAATCTTAAAACATAATAAAACTTCAATTATTTATAATAGTACAAAAAAAAAAATAAAATAAATGGTATTTATTCATTACCTAATGAAATCAGGATCGAACCAATAATCTTGTACAAATAATACAATGTGACAAACACTGTAAAGAAATGTTATTAATTGTAAACTTTGAATTTCGACATCATTCGATTCAACACAATAGTCTGAATGTTGAAATTTTTTTCCAAGGGAATCTTGTTGTTGAAAAAGTCTTATATAACTAGAAGGTGAAAGGATTGGTTGAGTATCCAGAAATAGTGTACGATTATTTGTTATGTAAACATCTATGCCATTTGTTTTATGAACTGCAGTTTCCAAATCTTCAGTCTTTTCTATATTAAAAATATATTTACTGAAATGTGAATCATTCAAAATATTAAAAACTACTTTAATTTTTATAATTTTTTCAACTCCACATTAATAAAACTCACTTCTTGTTTAACAATTTAGGTTCGGCTAACAATGACAATATGGTAGATTTACCCACTCCTTGGTATCCTACCACACCCACCACTAAAAAATCATTTTGATCACTTAAATACTCTAGACATGCATCAACCAAAGCTGAATTTTCTAAATCTAAGAGTTTAACTGGTGCTGTCATTTCAGGAACAGCAATTGCTTGAATTAAAAATTATTATAAAATTAAAAATAATATATGAACAACTATATTAATGACAAATATCTAATCTTACAATCAGTCGTAGATGGCTTAGAATGCAATTGATAAACTGGTTGCGAATTTTCTCCATCCTTCCTAAAAACAGTTAAATCTCTATTTCATATATATGTATATTACAAGAAAAGCACCTTTTGTAGCAAAATGAGACTAACTTTTGATTTTGTGCGCTTAAATTGCCTTTAGACGTTGGAGATAAAGCTCTTTCGCTACCCCTGGTTTTAAGAAGAATTGTAGGATGTTGTTTTTCTTCTTTTAAATGTGAAAATAAGGCTCTTTTGGAATTATGATCCCGGCTATATTCTCTATCTAATTTAGACATGGGGCCCCGTCGATGTTCCTAAAATATGAATTGTTTCATTTAAAATTAAATTAAAAATTTTAATAAAGTATATAATATAACCTCACTATTAACAGGTAACTTAAAGTGCTTACCTTGTTTGATAAAAAATCTGATTTCTTTCTATATTCTTGACTTCTCGAATAATCACCCATTTTATCCAGATTTGAATAATTTTTTTTAATCAAAAACTAATTAAAAAACTTTGGCAAAAATTTTAACTTAAATATAACCTAACTACTAATTCATGTTGGTTTCATTTACAATAAAGTACAATAAATGTTTAATTATATATGAAATATAAAGTAAATAAAAAAATAAAAAAATTATTTTATTAAATTAGGTATAGGGATTGTAAAATCATTTTATAAATTCCTTTTATCTTCAAGAGGTTTACCACAAAACGAGTAACTGACAAAAAATCACACTTACTGTTTCAAAACACGATTAGTTTATTATTTCGCCGATAGATGTCTCTCAATTCATTTTTTTTCCCTCCTAAATAGATTGGAATGTTTAAAGAATTTGGTTTTCATGACTGATATCAGATGCTCAATTGGAAAGTAAAAAAAAAAAAAAAAAATTCATTTAATTAATAAAAGAAATGTAAAATATTTTCCTTAATATATTACTTAATAATAATATTTTCATTCCTGTAATTAAAAAATTTAATTTCAAGTTTGAAAATGATAATTTATCAAAGATAATTTTAAATAAAAATAAATATCGATATTATTAAAAACCGAAAAAAAAAAACATTAGCTCATTATTAAAAATAATTTATTTGATTATAACAAAAAAATAAAACCTTGTCATTTGTATGATATACATAAAACCTTCAAGGTGTGAAATAATAATAAAAGAATAAGGTCCTTCTCATTATTTTCCCTGAAAATAACATTCAAATCATAAAAAAAAACCTCGGCTGCAATGACAATACAAGAGAAACAAGAATATAATATGGCTTACATGTCGAAAGTCACGTTTCAATTTTTATTAACCTAATTTTCTTTTTTCTTTTTTTTTTTCGTTAATATTTTCATTTAATTTTAATAACATTAATTAATATAATAAAATATTTTACTTAGAAATCAATAAATAAATAATAATAACAATAATAATTATCAATTAATATACATATTCATTAAAATTTTGTATAAAAATTAATTAATTAATTATTAATTATTTTTTGAACCGTTATAATAATTTATATAATATTAATTAATAATAGTTATGTAATTATTAATTATAATTAAATTACAATTTTAAAAAAAAAAAAAATTGATTTCCCAAAAAGAAAACAAAAACATGTGGGAAAGTTCATGAACCTAATAATGACGTAATATGGCATTCATGTTGCTAGGATACGGTCAAATCGATGAATCTCCCTTATTATTATTATTATTATTACTTTTTTCCGTCTCGTGAGAGTAAAAAATTCATTATGTGAAAAAAAAAAAAATACTAAATTTTATTATAAAATAATTTATAAAATCCTGTAGGATTAAATTAAATTAAAATTATTAACGACGACTTGAATACAAGAAAAGTCAAACAAGAACAAAAAACTTTTCGTTGAATAATAACAATTATTTTTTTATTAAAATTATACATTAAATAATCATCATCATCATCATCTTTTTTATACAAAATAATAATAATAATAATAATAAACTCATTTCGCGAATGAATTTTATAGAAATTTTTCCCTCCTCCTACGATTAGTATTATCTAATATGATGGAAATAATAATTTGCCAAATATCCTAGATACGGTACACGTGGTACAAAATAAATTGACCTTGAAAATTCCAGACACGTGGAAAGATTCTAGTAATGCTAAAAAAAAATTAAAAATAATTTTCAGGTATGCCGTGAACTATTTTTAAAAGTAGGTTATCATCAATCAATTAATATAACGTAACGTGATTCCAGATTTTTTTTTTCTCCAAAATGTTTTTTTTTTTTTTTTGTGTTCCTTTCATTCCAGTATATTATTATATCAAGGACTCTGGAATAAAATAAATCAACGTTTATATTATTACATTATAACAAAAATATAAACAAACAGCATCAATTTAACTTAATAATGATTTTTATTACTTTGAATAAATTTTCTTTTTTTTTATGTATACATACATACATGCATAAATATTTATTTATTTATTTCCTCTATAAAAAAAAAAATAATTTTTTATTTAATAGGTCGAGGTAAATAAAATTATTTTTAAAAATAATATTTATAAATGATAAGAGAGAAAAAAAGATGATGATAAAATTTATTTATTTATTTTTTTTTTCTACTTCAAATCTACTTTTCGATTGATACGCACACGCACACGCACACACGCACATACTCTCTTAATTGATTATTATTATTATTATTATTACGTTAACGATATAGCAAATTAATGAAAAAAAATAAATAAGTAAATAAAAATAGAAAATTTCCCATGAAAACATATTAAATTAAATGCGAGAGAATTAGCGCCAAAAAAATTTATTTATTTATAAAATATTCGAAAGGAAAATAAAAATAAATAAAAACAATTTTAATTAAAAAATAA